GCATCTGTAATTCTTTACTGTCCAGGAGTGCTTCTTAAAATACTAAGTGCTTCTTAAAATCTTAAGCTGCTCCATTGCTAGGAGAAATATGGCACTTCCTGCTTGCTCCACCCAGTCCAGCATGGTGGAGCTACCCATCTCCTCCAAGAGCCATGCACAGTGCCCCATCTCTAGGCACACAGCTGGTCCATGTTGCCACCAAGCAAGCCGTAGCCTCACAAACCCCATTCAAATGCTTGGTCTCCTGAGAGAACCAGAGGTCTCGCGGGAGCATGGCCCAGAAAGCCAGCATTTCAAAACATCTCGGCTTTTTTTTTTTCTGCTACCGAGGAACCAGGGATACCTCTCTTAAGGGAGCTGCAGCACGCTGCCAGCAAGCAGCAAGAAGTTGTGTTAAACTCTGTATTTTTGTGTCTCGAATTCCTTTTCGAGATCTCTCAGGTTTTTAAGTGGATTCACTTGGCCATGTGGGTGCCAATTTGTTATAGGAGGAGGCCGCTAGTTAGTTCCTGGCTGCTTATTCCCAAAATAATCACACAGAAACCATATTATTTAAAATACTGCTTGGCCAATTACTTAAGCGTATTGCTAGCTAGCTCTTACATCTAGAATTAACCCATCTCCATTATTTTACATCTTACTGTGAGGCTTGTGGCCTACCGGCAAGAAAACATCTCTCTCTAGCAGGGCTACATGACTTCTCTCTGACTCCGTTTTCTCTCTCCCAGCAGTCAGCTTAGTTTTCCCTGCCTAGCTCTGTTCCCCTATAGCTCTGCTATAGGCCCAAAGCAGTTCCTTTATTAACCGATGGCAGTCACAGCATACAGAGGGGAATCCCACATCAAGTGCTGGGATTAAAGGTGTGCACCATCACTGCCCGGCTCAATGTTAATTGACCCACTGATACAAGGGGACTGATCTAATGAGAGTTTACCAAGGCCAGTTGGACTGGGACTGAACGAGGACGTGATCCAACCAGATTCTCTGAATGTGGCCAGATTCTCTGAATGTGGCTGGCCCGGAGTCTTTCTGAAAAGCCATTGACAATGACACTGGGACTTGTTTCCTCTGCATATACTGGATTTTGCGGATCCAGTCTGTCTGGACACTCACCTTCCTGGACCTGGAGGGAGGGGGGAGGAACTTGAACTTCCCACAGGGCAGGAAACCCTGACTGCTCTTAGGGATGGAGAGGGAGGAGGAGAGGGAGTGGGGGGAGTGGGAGGGTGTTGGGAGGAGGGGCAGAAATGGAAACTTTTATAATTTAATAAAATTACTTTAAAAAAAAACTTAAAAAAATGCTCACTGCTTTGCTGCCCTATAATTGGAGAAATGTGACCAATGATCTTTAGGAGAACATTTCAAGGTTAATGTTAAAGCATGAAACCATGAAGTTTCCTAAGTTTTACAATAAAGTCAGCATGCAGGCAGGCCTGCCTATTTCAAGCACATCCTATATGGGCCACTGTAGCTTATTATCCATTAAATATTCTCCTACTTAATTGTACTCATTTTCAATCCTTAGATTATTCAGTCGAGTTGTTATTTCTCTTCCTAAGAAGATAAAAGCATTTTGTTATGTATGTGGTGAACAAATTTTTCTATGACCCTCTATCTAAAACACCCATTTACCCTCAGTGATTTAGAATAATCGAACCATCATAAGGATGGTAAAAAACTGGGGCCACGTGCCACGTGTCTATGGTCCCAGATCTTGGAACCTGAGGCAGGAGGATCACAAGTTCAGGACCAGCTTGGGATACTAGCGGGGTTCCCCGGGGAAAAGAAAAGAGATGACGTGAACGACCGCAGCTGACAGAAAGAGTGCGGTCATAGATTCACCATCTTCCCTGTTTTAAAAACCTTTAACAAAATACTTGAGAACAAATTGAAGAGAGTCTGCTTTTCTATATCAGCACACAGCAACTGCACAAAATATTTGCTTGCTTGCTTGTTTCTTGCCTTTAAACATTATTTTAAGGAATATCCCTGAATATTGCTGTGCTTAATCCTCAAGATTAGATTCAGATGACTTATTTTTGATGGGCATACAGCAGAAATGACACAGTGCACAGAATCAGTCTGTCCTAATGGCTGTGATGGTATGATGATTCTTCCAGGACGCTTCATTGTAAAGTTATCATTTAACAGTTGTTAAGTAGCTTATTGTGAGATATTTTGACATGGTGTAACTATCCTGTAGTTTTTGTTTTTTGTTTTTTTTGTGATACGTGTTCTCTAAAATAAACTTCAATTAGGATCGTTCTAACTGACATTATTCTTCAATATTTTCTGTTTTGGTCATCCTATGATGGGGAAGAGACTTTTATCCTTATTTATAACATAATGAGCTGATACATTTTAAGTTTCTTGTGTGAATTATGTCCATGGATTTGACAAGGAATGGATTCATGAAATGAATGCCCGTGCAATGGTCCCACCATTCTCTGCGTACTCTTGTGTTCTAGCATGATATGATATCAAGTCAGCCGTTTCTCTGTTAGCTTTTATGTCAGCTAATTTTCTAAAACGTTATGTTTACTTTTGGGTCACCGTTCTATTCAGAAGCCAATCTAAATCTTGGCTCTCCTGTTGCTGTGATAAGGTCCTATGAACAGGGCGCACTGAGTGAAATTTCTGATCACTGGGGAAGACATTCAATGAGTTTATGCTCTAAAAGAACAAATACCTTCAGTTCTTCAAACTAGGAAGTGATTTCACAAATAGAAAAATCATATACCTTCTAGCTCTTAGAACATATTTTCTGCTGAATATTCTATATGACAGCCATTTACAAAAAAAAAAAATCCTGACACACAAGGGAATGATGGAGAACGAGGATTAAAACACTTCTTTTTTGAGATCTTTACATGTATTTTATAGGACCCGTCATTTGTTTTTGAAGTCTTTAAAAGTTTGAGATAATTGCATCTTTGGGACATTATCCCTGAGGATGAGAAGTTTCAAACCTCTGTATATTATTGTTGCTGAACTTTAAATTGTTTGGGGACAAGTATTCCCCCAAACAACAAGTGACTTAAACTTGCATAGTATTGCAGTTGTTACCCTGTGGTAGTTTTGGCTATGTTGGTAACAGCTGGTCATTTTGAAAGAAATAAATTGCATAATTGATTTTTTGTAACACTTCACATTTTAAATATGGATATATTCATTCTTCTTTGTACATAATTAACCATAACTAACTTATGGGATGTATCGTAAAACATTTTTGTTTGGAATTTGTAGCACAGAATTCAGGTGAGAGAACCATTCTTCCTTGGCTACTATTTTTATGCAGTATAAAAACATCAAATTCTGAGCACCCAAGTTAATGTTGTTCTTAACAGCAGTATACAATTTTTTTATTTAAAATAACTTTTTATAATAATTTACTCGACAGGGATTTTACTAAATATTAAATTTTGCAGGAAAATCCACAAGAAAATAATTTGTTAACTAATGTAAGAATCAATTATTATTGATGGAAGAAAATGTTAAGAAGAGGAGCAAAAATTATATGTTTGGTTATAGAAAGGAGGAATTCTGGACTTTTTGGGGGATAGTAAAGATACATACAGTGTTTCCATTCATGTTTGGACTTTGCAGGGTAAGCTGCTTAGGAGTTAATTAGTAAAACGGGAAAAAGCATTGACAGAACTGTTAACTGAGTAGAAATGAGCAGCAATAGAGGGAGAAGGGGAGGATGACGTAATGCAATGGAAGCAGTTTGGAAAACTGGACATCTCTGTCATCAGTGCAGTAAGACATTGCCGTGTTACTGTGTTCACCATCTCTGTTGATGCCAACTTTCTAAAGGTGGAGAGCAAGGAGAAGGTTGCAGTGGCTGAAACCCTGAAACAAGGAAAGAAAGCGAAGGCTGGTGTTGCAACACTAACCATCTGATGGGTGGATTTTTCTGAAAGAAAGCAGAGAGCGTGAGAGGATGGCAGTGACGGGGATGCTTGAGGGCCCGTGTGTTTGAAGGAACACTGGAGAGAACCAGACGGGAAAGGACAGCTTGAAGCTGATGGTGAGCAGTGTAAGTGCCTAAGCGAGAAAGTTTTCTGCACTAATCTTTGTTAATGTAACACGGAAAAAATAAAACCCAAAGCGCCTCTTTTACAACCATCTTTAGTCCTGTTTTCAATGAACTCTTAGAGAGATTTTCTAAAAGACTATAATTTCTGCATTTCCTGGGAATGAATGGATTTTAACACATAGTAAGAGAATTACCTGTGTAAATTTTTTTAGAATTCTTTAAATATGAGGTATGGGGCTCAATACTGAAGGAAACTCTGTAGTGGATATATCAGCGTTTAAATGAGGTGGGATAATTTTATTTCATGTATAAAACAGTTCTTAAATTTAACCACAATGTTTAAACAATATCACCATTATTTAAGCAAGTCCTCTCCTCTCCTTTCCTCTTCTCTTCTTTCTTTCCCTTCCTTCCTTCCTTCCCTTCTCTTCCCATCCTCTCCCTTCCCTTCCCTTCCCCTCCCCTTCTCTTCTCCTCCTCCTCCCATTCCTCATAGAGCTTGTTTTAAAAATTCATTCATCTCTATCAACATTCCTTCCTTCATCCACTGAAGAGCATTCCTGATCTTTAGTATGAACTGTCACCTCTTCAAGTATGTGACCTACTTTTCTAAATTGTGTTCAGTCTACACAGTTGAAAATGGATCCAGCCAATGTCCATTTGCATTTTTCTCCATTGGTCACTTTCACACTTTTATTGAAAACCTACTGTTCCAAGGACATAATTATGGGCTGACATAAAATATTAAATTGACTTTTTGCTTTCTGGTTCATTGCTTTCTAAATTTTGTGGTGCAGTAATCAAATAAATCAAGTCTGTTTTCCTTGATTTACAGTATCCTGCAATTTTGTGTGTGTGGTGAAATTATGTTATAACAACGAAAATAACTCTGAAAGTCCTTTTCTAGCTAAAAGAACATTGCGTTTATTTACATTCTAGAATGACATTAGTGCTAGGAAGGAAATGCAAGGAGAAAATTTCACTGCTTGGAGCCTTTTGTTCCTGGAGGGATTTTCCCGGTACCCAAGGTTAGAGATCATTCTGTTTGTCTTCAGCCTTATAATGTATTTGGTTACCATCCTGGGTAACAGTACTCTGATTTTAATCACTGTCCTGGATTCACACCTTCAAACCCCCATGTACCTATTTCTTGGGAACCTCTCTTTCATGGATATCTGTTACACATCGGCTTCCATTCCTACTTTGCTTGTGAACTTGCTGTCATCCAAGAAAACCATTATCTTTTCTGGGTGTGTGGTCCAGATGTACCTCTCCCTTTCCATGGGATCCACAGAGTGCATACTTCTGGCTGTGATGGCCTATGACCGTTACGTGGCCATCTGCAACCCACTGAGGTACCCCATCATCATGAACAGGCAAGTCTGTGTGCAGATGGCCACCATTTCCTGGGTGACAGGCTGTCTGACTGCCCTGCTGGAAACTAGCTTTGCTCTGCAGATTCCCCTCTGCGGGAACGTCATTGATCACTTCACGTGTGAAATCCTTGCGGTACTAAAATTAGCTTGTATGAGTTCCCTGCTCATGGATCTGGTGATGCTGGTGGTCAGTATTCTCCTCCTGCCCGTTCCAATGCTCTTAATTTGTATTTCCTATGGCTTCATCCTTTCAACAATCCTGAGAATCAGTTCGACAGAGGGAAGAAACAAAGCTTTCTCGACTTGTGGTGCGCACTTGACTGTTGTGATCCTATACTATGGAGCTGCTCTCTCCATGTACCTGAAGCCTACGTCGTCAAACTCACAAGAAATAGACAAAATCGTCTCGTTGCTCTATGGAGTGCTTACCCCTATGTTGAATCCAATAATTTACAGCTTAAGGAACAAAGAAGTAAAAGATTCTGTGAAAAAACTGCTGGGCAAAGTACCATTGGCACCAAGCGTGTGACCGTCTTTGATTGGGTAGCTGTGACTTTGCCAAGGATGTGCCATTGGCACCAAGCGTGTAACTGTCTTTGATTGGGTACCTGTGACTTTGCCAAGGATGTACCATCGGCAGAACTCAGCAGAGAAATTCTGAACACCGTTGAGCTCTTTTGGATTCTGACCTGAATATTAGCACTGCAATTTCACAGTCTTGAGGTCCTTGTACACCAAGTCATGGATGCAGTAGGTTCACTTACTAATATTTCTTGGCTTTGGTATGTCATAGTTGGGAGGACATCAATTCAGTCACTGCGCGTTTGCTCCAAAAGCAAACTTAGATAAATGTGGTCAGTGAATCTTAGTACCAGAAGAAATACCTTCTTTGCTTCAATCCCTTGTAGGGATTGTAGGGGTAGGAGCCTAAAGATACAAACCAAACAACTAAAGGAATGATAAAGATATTGGCATTGATTATGAAAGCAAGGACATGAAATCAAAGAAAATTGAAAGGACTCAGTCAACACGGTCCTGTGCAGACTTTGATGACAGCATCCTTTTGACTTTTTGGTCAGAGCTTATTCTATTCCATGGTGGTAGCTTATTAAATTTCCTGTCTTCCCGAGTAAGGATCTCATAAAGTCAACTTTGACTTTTGTAAACAAATCTGTTCCTGTGAAAACTATACTTTATATATGTTAAGTCATTTTTACTTGTTCACTGTTTTTTTTTCCTTCATTGGAAGACTGACTTCATAATAGCCGATGAGGAAGCATTTGTTCTAGAAATAATATTTTTTCCATCCAAATCTAATTGTACAAACACACCCTGGTTCTTTCAATGGCAATTTCGAAGTGAGATTTTAGCACAGGCTTTCGTTAGACTGGGGTTAAATTTCTCCTTTGAATATAACTAAATTGTCTGTTCTCTGGAATTTGATACAATTTTGCAAAAATATAAACAGTAATAGAGACACAGAGACAGATGAAATCTTACCTGAAAGCATGCCACTGAAGAACCTGGAGACACAGAAGTGGGGCAGTCCCCTGTAATATAGCTGGCTTGCTACGAGGTCGTGAACACATTGACATGGAACCAAATCTTCTGACCGGCATATGACCAGAAGAGGACAGACGAATGTCACAAGTGTCAGAAGAGGAACCATGGGAGAAACTGGGCAGATAGCTCTGTAGTAGTGCTCAACTAAGGCAATAGTGAGTCTGGCCACATGCTTCATAAAGCTGCTGTGGATAATAAATAAAAATATTGGCACATATTACAGACTGTATGTGGTACTGAAGTTAACTATGGGTGAATGGTATATTATTTTCTTGGGTTAAGTTTCATCCCAGCAACTCTAGTTATAGAGTCTCAGGTAAGGGATGTTCTTCAAGCATTGTCTAAAGAGAGAAATACTTGACAGAGAAGGTAGAACTATCTCTAACAGAGTCCATGTGTTCATGAGTGATGACATGTCCAGATTTGTGCTTTAGAAAATTCTGATCATGTCATGTCTCTACCCAGTGACTTAATACAGAAAGTCCTTACGATGTGATACAAAGGCTCCTATAATTCGATTGCTTGCCATTCCCGTTCTTTCCTTCAGGACACTCAAATCCTTTTAGTGTAACCAGTGTATACTTTCTCTTGGTTCTCTTTTAAAAACACCAACGAGCGGTGGAGAAGGCTCAGTCAGCACAGTGCTTGCCATGCAAGCTCAAAGAAATGAATTTAGTCTCCAGTGCGCATGTGAGAAAACAAATGCTTGAGCAGAGTTGTGACGCCCTTGTACCCTCAGAAATGGGGACACTGAGGCAGATGGAGTTCAGGGCTTGCTGGCTATCCAGCTTAGTCTACTTGTTGTGTTCCAAGTCAAGAAGAGATGCTGTTTCAAAAAAGTGGATTGTATTTGGGAACAACCTGAGGTTATCTCCTGATTTCAACATTTATGCATATGTACCCATATATTCTCATACATACAAACACACATACAAAACACATATCACAACTTTTAATGGAATAATAGTTTGGAGGTTTTGTTTGTTTGTTTGTTTTTGTGAGACAGGGTTTCTCTGTGTAGCCCTGACTATCCTGGAACACATTCTGTAGACCAGGCTGGGCTGGAACTCAGAGATCCACTTGCCTTTGCCTCCTGAGTGCTGCAAATAAAGGCGTTCACCACCACCGCTTGGCTGGAATAGTAGCTTTTAATTTTACCTCCTTGGTGATGCCTTCTTCACTATCCTGCAGGTTCACCACTACAAGAACTCTATCGCTTTGTTTCTCACGGCACGCCAAAGACTAAGCACAATGTCGCCACAGAAGAGATGCTCAATGTACCTTTTGAGAAGGACTAAGTGGTCCATGAACACCTTCCAAATAGCAGTACACATGTACCAAACCTTTGGTAGCTATTTAGTAGGTACCTGGCCATCCCTCTAGTGAACAGCACTTTGACGGTTGGGTGGTGATGAGAAAGATGTCCATCTAGACCTTTCAAAATAAAGTTGCTATCAGTTTTTAGCATGGAATTTTATAAAAAAGATTTATTCTTGTGTGTATGTGTGTGTGTGTGTGTGTGTGTGTGCTCATGTGTATGTCTTCACACGTGTGTGTATGTGCCTCCAGAGATCACAGACTCTAGCATCAGATCCTCTGGAGCTAGAGTTGCAGGTGGTTATAAGTCACCAATGTGGCTGCTGGAACCAAACTCTGGTACACTGTAAGAGTAGCGAATATCATTAACCACTAAACCATCTCTCCAGTCCCGCTAGCATGGAATTTACAGGTTTTTTTTTAATATTTAAGATTTCATATGAGTGTACAATGAAATAGGATCATACATACCCCCATTTTTCCTTCCAACTCCTCTCTTGCTTCTTCCAACATCCCCTCCAAATTTCAAGCCTTTTTTGTTCACCTACTAAGTCTAGTTAGTACTGCCTATGTGTAAGAGTGTAGGAAATCTACTGTAGCATGGGAAACCGACCAGAGGCCACATCCTCTATAAAAGAATGATTTTCCCTCCCCCCACCGCCGCTATCTGCTCTCAGTAGCTCCTTAGTAAGGAACGGGGTCTAGACATCATCTACTCCATACACAGCAGTAGTTAGGCTGGCTTGATCATAGGGGCACACAGTTGCTGCTGTGAGATCTGTGATACTCACACCATATCTGGAAGACAGCATCTCACAGCACTTCTCCCCCTCCTTTGACTCTTACATTCTTTTCCTCTTCTCCTCCACAATGTTCTCTGAGACTTGGTGGTGGTGATGGGAATTAATATAATTGCCCCATTTAGATAGCACAGCACTTTGAAAACCGAACCACCTTACTTTCCCAATAGAAGGACACGCTGTTAGATAATACTTGTCTATTTTAATATTAGAAATGATTGAAGCAGGCCTTTGATAATACAGTCCATATAGTTAATGACTGAGATGGAGAAATGTACTCTGAATGAATGAAAAAAAATATTCCAAGGCATTCATAATTGGCTGTATCTGATGGTATGGAAGAACATTTTAAATAAAGGAAGTACTTTGTCTATGAATAGAGGAAAGTCAAGTGTCATAACACACACACACACACACACACACACACACACACACACACACGTCTCTTATAGCTCTTATTCTTCCCTAAAAATAATCACAACTTGAAAGGTTTTTTTAGTATTGCTTTATTCTCAGCAATATAAACAACCGTAACTTTTAGACTCATTTAAATAATCTAACTCTAGAATTTATTTCAGATGCATGGGAATGAAGATGTCTCGTTTATGGATAAGGGTTGGAAATATTATTTTATGGTGCGTTGCTTTTGTTATGTTGCTTTTATATTACTGTGCCTGTCTAGAACGCCTGATGGTCTAATAAAAATCTGAATGGCCAAGAGCAAGGCAGGAGAAAGGACGGGTGGGGCTGGAAGGCAGAGAGAATATATAGAAGGAGAAAGCTGGAAAATTCAAGATGTCATTGTTTTTTACCGCTGAGTAGTACTCTAATGCATATATATTCCACACTTTTTTTTTTTTAATCCATTGAGGGTCATCTAGGTTGTTTCTAGGTTCTGGCTATTACAAATAATGCTGCTTTGAACATAGTTGAACAAATGCTTTTGTAGTATGATTGGACATCTCTTGGGTATATTCCCAAGAGTAGAATTGCTGGATTCTGAGGTAGGCTGATTCTGAATTTCCTGAGAAACCACCACACTGATTTCCAAAGTGGTTGCACAAGTTTGCATTCCCACCAGCAACGGATGAGTGTTCCCCTCACTTCACATCCTCTCCAGCAAAGGCTATCATTGGTGTTTTCGATTTTAGTCATTCTGACAGGTGTAAGATGGTATCTCAAAGTTGTTTTGATTTGCATTTCCCTGATCACTAAGGAAGTTGAGCATGACCCTAAGTGTCTCTTGGTCATTTGAACTTCTTCTGTTGAGAATTCTCTGTTCAGTTCAGTGCCCCATTTTTAAATGGGTTAATTAGAATTTTAAAGTTTCTTGAGTTCTTTATATATTTTGGAGATCAGACCTTTGTCTGATGGGGGGGTTGGTGAAGATCTTCTCCCATTCAGTAGGATGCCTTTTTGTCCTAATGACAGTGTCCTTTGCTTTACAGAAGCTTCTCAGTTTTAGGAGTTCCCATTCTTCAATGTTGCCCTTATTGTCTGTGCTACTGGGGTTATATGTAGGAAGTGGTCTCCTGTGCCCATGTGTTGCAGTCTACCTCCCACTTTCTCTTCTATCAGGTTCAGTGTGGTCGGATTTATATTGAGGCCTTTAATCCATTTGGACTTGAGTTTTGTGCATGGTGATAGAGAAGGATCTATTTTCATTCTTGTACAGGTTGACATCCAGTTATGCCAGCACCATTTGTTGAAGATGCTTTCTTTTTCCATTGTATACTTTTAGCTCCTTTGTTGAAAATCAGGTGTTCATAGGTTTGTGGGTTAATATCTGGGTCTTCTTTTCGAAAACACTATCCTGAGTGAGATAACTCAGACCCAAAAAGATGAATAT